TGCGCACCCACGACCCCACCAGCAGGGGTTGAACCCGCGACCTTCAGGTTCCGCGGCCAGCGCGTTACCGTTGAGCCACTGGGTCAGAATCCAATGCTCCATATTTCCAACTTCTGTTAGCTCACGATATAGCGCAGACCGCCACCCAATGTCATCGTTGAGTATTTGTCCTCACGGCCATCAGGCTTTGACTCCACCGGTCACGACTTGTCATTGGAACTTCGGGAATACTTCTCGAAGCTAGTCACCAACGAGCACTAGTTCAATTAAATTTTGAGGGGTTGTGGAGATTTGGAATTATTTCAAGTTGTTATTCATCGAAGACTGACATCAGTTGGAGGAACAAAGGAAACCTGGGAGCACTGGACAGCTGTTTCGTCCAACTAGTATGGGACTCCTCAGCAGTGCGCACCCACGACCCCACATAATCTTGCCTTGAAGGCGGTTAATAGTGGCTCAATAGCTTAACAGCAAAATCTCTAACTTCAGGATTATTATTATTATTATTATTATTCCACTTGTACATCGTCAACTCCATCTAATATTGGTCTAACATTTATTCATACGCTAATAAGAAGGCAGTTTACAGATTAAATATGATGATGTAACAAATACAAATTGTCACATATAATCAACCTTTTAGTTAATATATCTCTGAATTGATCGATCAATTGTAAATTCACATCTCTTCAAAACAAATATGATCCTAAGTGAAGCAAATTATCAACTTTGTAATCATTAAGATATACTGTATATTATTTTTTACTGTATACTTTTTATAAAATAGTCAAGAGAACTTGAAAGAAAAGATACATATTTCAATAAAGTTATTAGACAGTGTCGATAATGTAATTACTTTACAGTGTATATGTGTGTATACTGTGAGTTGTTTACATTGATGACAGAAACTTGACACCAAAAGTGCATCAGTTCAAATTGCCACATTTCATAGAAGCATGTAACAAAGACGTGGATAGAAACTGAATAACATAAGTTGACAAGAAAGTATAAACAGATAAAGGTTTTAAAATAGTAGAGAATATTTGTAGCTTAGGTGGATGATCTTGAGTGTATTGTGTTCTTTGAGCTGGATTGTTTAATTGTTGAGATGTCTTCATCATCTTCCTAGATAATGACATCATCAGCATTAACTTCAGTATGAAGTGAGCTGCCAACTGACCAAGGATATTATATCTTTTCGTGCTCAATGAAGACACAAGCCTTTCAGAATGCACAAAACCTAAATGTTCAAGTCTGTTCGAACTCATCTAAATTTGTCTGACAACATACTTCCAATTCAACGACAAGATATACAAACAGATGAAAGGAACTCTAATGGGGTCACTGATATCCGGACTACTTGTGATTAAACCAAAAATTTGGATTCGTTATGCGGACGATACTTTTGTCATCATTAAAAAAGCTGATATAGAAAACACCCACAATTTGATCAACAACGTTTTCACTAATGACACCAAATTCATAATGCAGAAGGAGTCGAACAACCAACTACCATTGCTGGATATTTTAGTCAGTAGGACAAATGCCGGAAAGCTGGAAACCCAAGTGTATAGGAAGCCAACACACACTGACTAATCAAATCTTAAACTACAGTAGCAATGACACACAAAATTAGTTGCCTGAATACTCTATTCAAAAGAGCGAGAACACACTGCACTGCAGTACAACAACTTCACGGAGAAACGGAGAAAATTACTTGATGTCCATCCTAAAGAAGAACGACTACTCAGGAAACTTTATTACAAGATGCCTATCTGATGCATCACCAACTACGAAGTCATTGACAGAAATCAGTTAACACATCATCCTACAGTACCTAAAGAAGATGTATCAGAAATAGCAACACGATTACTAAGACCACTTGGAATTGGTGTGGCCATTCATAAACCAACTAATTCCCTGCAAACACTATCATGCAGACGAAAGGATGCAACAAGCAAAGAAGATAAACCGAATATCATATACAAAATAAACAAAGTGGTCGTCCTCCTCACCTCTGTCTACATGAACACCAATTGGCAATTAAACGTCACACAGGACATTTCACCACTCATTTCGATGCATGTGGATAACAACTATGGACATGAGTTGAATTTTGACAATGTTGAGATGTTGGATAGAGAGAAGAAACGCAAAGAATATCAGAGAATTCCTAGAAGCTCGGCATTCAGATTAGTCAGTCAGCAATCAATAGATGGATGTATAGACATAGACCCAATCTATCAACCAGTGAGAAAACTGATAAACGACAGAAAGGTGAGAGGTCAAGGTAGAGGGACAGCCAATAGGAAAATGTATACAGTCAGTCAGCAACAGACAACAATCCAAGGAAACAAGTAATCACAAACCATTTGGTCAGGGCAAGCTAGTGAACCATTCGTGGAGAGATACTGAGAGCTCACTTCATACTGAAGTTAGTGCTGATGATGCTGTCTGGAAAGACGATAAAGGCTTCTCCCCAATTAAACAACCCAGCTCAGAGAACACAATACAACCAGGATAAAGGTTTATTAGATATATTCAACACTTAGAATATGATAAAGTGTTTTACATTTGTGGCATTGTGACCCATTTTGAGCGATATTGCCAAGAGTTTCCGATCATATTGTTGTGAGGACCTTGGTCAGACAGTCTACACTTGCCGATGCAGTTCAGATCAACAGATTAAGCCATAATGGACTGATGTCACGCCTTCTTTCAACTGAATCCCACTATGGCTAGCATAGCATAACGAGGTAGGAGATGGCTCGGTATGCATAACATTTGTCCAAGCCACCTGAGTGGGTGAAGGTTTACGGCTTCATCGGATGACGTCCCTTTCTTTCCTAGGACCTTAGTTCATATTTTTTTCAAGTGGTTCATAATCTCTCTCACCACATAGTGTGGCTCAACTGTACGTCTTTCATTATTTTTGCCAGCGACATTTCTGTTAACGCGAGTTGATTACGATATGCTGACCAATTGCTGTACATAATCTAGTATTGAAGGCGGTTAATAGTGGCTCAATAGCTTAACAGCAAAATCTCTGACTTCAGCATTGAGTGATATAGGTTAGAATTATTGATGCCGCATCAGTTTTCTCGTGAGTACAATTATACTTTCTTAATGAGTGCTTTCAAAAAAGAAACCTAGATCTAGTGCTTTCTACCGACTAACTCTTGGAATCGAATACGCAAACCTACTAAGTTATCACAGATGAAAACACTTCCCTTGAATGAAGGGATTTTACTCACCAACAAGTCAATCAACGTTGTTATGCTTCTTGCAGCTTATTGTGTTATGTACAATATAAACACAGTGGAATAAATGGAAACGTGGTTGATTGGCTAAGACACTTTCAACTTTCAGACCAAAGGTCTCATGTTTGAATCCCACTACACATACTTCGGTCTCGGTGACCAGGTAGTAAAACAAACCATAACACAAATGCCAAAGTGACATATACCTTTAGTGTCATTCTATTGGTGTGACACTCTGGTTGTAGTCGGTATTTTCGAACTTGGACTTTGCACCCAGTGCAACCGTGTTCAATTTATTTGCATAACAAGAAGATACTATCTGATAACCTCATTGGTGGAAAGTTAAATCGGCAAACCACAGAGCTATAGCTTCAGAAAAGGATAAAACACTGTGTGTTGTAGTTTACTTGATAGCTACTGATGGAATCCAGAATTTGCATCTCGTCCTGTTTGCGACTCGTCAGTTGGATTTGCCTGCACTCCAGTGAGTGAAGGTCTTCCCACTGAGACTCGAACCTGGTACCCATCGCTCCAAATGACGAAGCGCTATCTACTAGGCCACTGAGACATGAGGGTCATTTGTACGATGGATATTAGTTGTTATTTAGGATAGCGCTTTGGCGTTTGAAGCTATGAGTACTGGGTTCAGGTCTCAGTAGGAACACTATCACTCATTGGAGTGCAGACAAATCTAGTTGACAAGCCACAGATAGGACGGGATGTGCGTCTCAAATTCCCCTGCTACCCACTAAGCTAACTATTTTTGTAAACTCTATTCGTCCCATGGGTTCCTAGTGGAACACAGGCCTTCAGTAGTACGCCGTCATCTTACTCTCCTCTCTACAGTCTTTTTAAGCTGGCTCCGCAACTCTCCAGAACCTTTCATTTTTCCCTCACTCAACCTCCTCCATGTCACTCTCGGACGCCCAACTACTCGTTTCTCATTTCGGTTCCACTCGACGGCCTGACACGTGATGTCCCCAAACCGTCTTCTCAGTGTATGCCTTATCCAATTCATGCCCGCTTTCTTCTTCTTCATACTTGTTCGGCGACAGCTTCTTAGTTGGTTCGTTGCCAGACCAGAGCTCCTTGCTGCTTATTCTTTATGGCCATCTGATCTTCATTATAAAACGAGCGTGGGCGGCAGCTGTTCATGTGTGTCTGCAGTTTGCTGCGTTGTTGCTTTTCGTAAAGGCCCCAAGTCTCTCAACCATCACTGACTTGACTGACTTAATGTTGAAAATCTAGATCCTGTTCATGCTATGTGCTGAGTACAGTGCAATAGATTTCCACAGATTAATGAAGGAAGACGTGTCTTCCTGTTTTTCCGATCCTAGCTTTGACATCGTCATCTGTGCCGCCTCCACCGCTGCTTGTAGTTGGAACTATGCTACCTAGGTAGGTGTGTGAGAGGGAGACACCTTCCTTTAGATTTCTCGTGTTGATGGTGATTGATGCTTGTTGTTTTTGTTGTTGGTGGTAGTGGTTGGGTGGTATCTCCATCAGCTCTATCTTCTCTATGTCTTGACTCAATGTAACTACCAAAGATTTCAAGTATCAATAAATAGCATTGTGTGTTAGTTACTAGCTGGGGATTAATTCAAATCTTTACATGACCTCAACCTAACAATGAAGTTCCTTACTATACCATTTTGTATATGTATTAATTTCGCTCCCTTTCCTTCCCACTGTCATATTCTATTTCTCCTACATATTTTCCTCTTTCATGGATTTCAATAGATCTTCCATGGGAAGTACCATTTGAATCAGTGACTGATTTAGTATGGATTGGATCTGGTGCACAAGGTGTAGTATTTCGTGGTTATTTTCGAGGTGAATTAATCGCTGTAAAAAAGGTCAATAAACAATCTGATACAGATATTCGTCATCTACGCTACTTAAATCATCCAAATATAATTAAATTCAGGTATGATATTTGTCTCTCAGTCTTTTGTGATTTATTATTGCTTCATTGAACCTATCGATAACACGATTGTCATCTACAGACTATAGCTTCATATCTGTGAACTTATGGTTTACTAATTTACACTAATCCCAGTCAACTTTTTCAGACAATGAGTCACTCCAGCTGCTGTAATATTTACATTCCAGTAGATATAGATCTGGTTCATAGCTTGAACTTCTGACTTACTATTGAATAAGGAATCGATTTCTTTTGTAATGATATTCGGATTTGAGTGATTCTTCAACTAATCTGAGACTTTTATAGACTTCAGGATCAAAATTTGATCTGTTAGAGTTGAATGAGTTGAGCATCAGGTAAATCGCCTATAAAGAATAAATACACTGGGTGATGATTGAAGTTGAAATGAAAGTTCAGACCGCGGCCGGATTCGAACCAGAGACCACTGGGTATCTAGGCCTGACCCTCTACCAACTGAGCAACGAGATCCGATTGCCTGACTACCATACTCCCCCTCTCTAATTCAGTTAAGTTTCAACCGGCATGAGAAGTCCTGACTAGACAGCCATTGTCAATAAGATCAAGAGGTAGTAACGCGTCACAAATTCACATGATAGTCGGGCAAATCAACCCATAGGGATCGAAGTGAAATAAAAATCTGGTCAGCAGTTGGACCTCGTAGCTCAGTTGATAGAGCATCGGGGTGGAAACCCGGTGGTCGATAGTTTGAATCCAGTCGCGGTTGAAGTTTTCATTTCACCTCCAATCATCACCCAGTATAAATACTAGTCTGCCAAACCACGGCTGCTATCTCAAATGGTCAAAAAGACATAAAGAATATATCATGAATGAGTAGTGTTGAGGTCAGGGGAACGGTACTAAGCAGGACAGGCAAGTCAATTGATGGTTTGAACATGTACTGCGCGCGCCGAGCCATCGCCTACCTCGACGTGTTATGTTTGGAGAAGTTAGATTAGATTGAAAGAGGGTTCAGGGTGACCAGACCGAGACGTGGCATCAGTCAATGAAGTCTTGCTGTTGGTCTGAGTCGTGTGGAAAGATATAGACTGCTTAGCTGAATTTTTGAGGCCTCCTGGTGACATAGCTGAAAATCAGCTACAGTGGCGCAGATTTTTTCCGTTCTTTGACATCTAAAGCTTTGTCTACTTTGATATCACTCCTTTTCTATCCATCTATTCTTTTTGTATTATTGTAAAGTGTGATAACTTGGACTGATGCACCTGTGTGCTAGTTTCTTCGTTGATTTTGTCAGTCTTCCACTCATACCTCAAAGATGGCAAAAAGTGTATACGTCTGCTTCACTATGACCGATTTTAAGCCATGTCACCGAGATTCTTCACGCGTTTATCTCTTTCGCGCTAAGGAACTCCAATCAGGTAGCTGACACTTTCATAGACGGTTAAGATCAACAGTTAAAAAACCTTATGAATTGGCTCTATTTCTTGGTTGATTACTTCACTGCTTTTCTTTCCTTGTACTCTGCACCCAACTTTAACATTACACTACGGGAATGAAAAGTACAGTGTAAATAGCTTTTGTTTTTCCCTTGTTACAAACGACTATTAACAGTTTCCTGGCGGAAATAATCATCTCATCGAAATATGTCAAGGTCATATAGACTAGAGTCGATTCCGGTGACGTAGATGCTTTCATCTTCCTCTTAATCGTCATATTCCCATGGGTTGATTAGCCCGACTATCATGTGAATTTGTGACGCGTTACTACCTCTTGATCTTATTGACACTGGTTGTCTAGTCAGGACTTCTCATGCCGGTTGAAACTTAACTGAATTAGAGAGATGGAGCATCATATTCATTATCATCTTCCTTATCTGAGATAGCCGTCGTTTGGTATACTAGTATTTTTACTGGGTGATGATTGAAAGTGGAATGAAAATTTGGGCAGCGGCTGGATTCAAACCAGGGACAACCGGTTTCCGCCTCGATGCTCTACCAGTTAGTATAAATACTAATCTGTTCAACTACGGCTATCTCAGATAGTCAAATCATAATCTATAACATTTACTCAGCACTCGCTACTAGACAACATGAAATTAGTTATCCTCCAGTGACAATCAATCAATGTATATACCCGATATGCATAGTCTTCTGAACACTTCAAATGGCAATTTAAGAATGGTTGGGATGCGTTTCTCACCACCCGAATACAAATTGTTGCTCCACGATTGGTCTTCAACAGTGGCTCGGCTAACAATAGAGAGTATACAGGTTCAGTGTGTCTACTACTTCACTTACCTGGGAAGCAGGATCACACCTGCCCTAGTGGGTCAGTGGCCGATGAAATCTCTCCACGAATACAAAAGGCTCGATTAGCTTTGGCCAACTTACGCGACCTATGGCGTTACCGTGATATCCATTTGTGTATTAAGGGTCGCGTGTACTGCACAGCAGTCTGCTCTGTTCTACTTTGTATGGCTGTGAAACATGACCATTGAATGTGGAAGACATGAGAAGGTGGCTTGAGGTGTTTGACCACCTTTGCCTTCGTAGTTTAGGCCGTATTCCATGGTGTCACGACTTGAGTAATGCAGAAGTGAGGTGTAGAGTTTTAGGGAGGGAGAAGAGGTAAGTGACTTGACGAGGTTGTGAAGCTTCATCGACTGAAATGGCTGTCTGGGACATGTGTTATGTATGCGTAGTGGGTTATGTGACTCGTCACAGACTATTGGCGAAGTAGGTTCAGGCTGTAGAAAGGCTGTAGGTGGCCAGAGTAAAACATGGCCTCAATGTGTATGGAGTGTGTGACTGTTAGTTTGAGCCATGTGGGACGATGCAGACTAGTTGGTTGGGATGTGGGGGAGAAGAGAAATGAGTGGTTGTATACTGACTGTAGGTGATGACATGGCTGAGAACCGATATCAGTAGTTCAGATGTATCCCCACAGATATTATGCTCATCTCTCACAAGGCTATATCGAATCTCATCATTTTGTCGTTCCTCCTTTCTTTTTTCTCGTACTTCATATTTCTTGTGACTGCATTCTCTTATCTTCATCTTCCAGTTCACTGTCTATCTTTTTACTTGATGTAGTGTGATATGAGGTGTGGCAAGTTGAACTGTTACGTAGTAATGCCTGATCCTATGTTGATATTGATGTTGATGATGATTGATATACCGGATATAATTTATTTCTTAATTTCCTTTTGTTTTCAATAATTTTTAAAATCTTATTTTCATATCTCAGAGGAGTTTGTGTAGAACAACCATGCTATTGTATACTAATGGAATATTGTCCTTATGGTCAATTGTATGAGTTAATTCATTCTGGTAATCCAATATCACCGTCGTTAATTTATTCATGGATTAAACAGATTGCTGATGGGATGCATTATTTACATTCATGTAAAATTATTCATAGAGATTTAAAATCTCCAAAGTAAGTATTTTTGTTGTTCTTCATTGAAAATCTTATTACTAAGTCAACCTGTTTCTTACTAGTTGACCAATGGTTTCGAACTGTAAGTTTATCCATTGATGTTTAGTCAACTCGATACTCATGGAAATCAGTGTGTCTTATAATCTATTGAATTGTATGTTTTGTATTATTAATAGGACCCTAAAAAGTAACAATCAATGTAAGCAGGGAGGAGTGCGCTATTTTTGAGGTTCTCTACTCACATTAGATAGGTAGCGTCAGTGAGGCACTACCACTCATCAGTGAGAAACACCTTACCGAACTAACAGTGCAACTTCACACTTGAAACCTAATCAAAACGTAGTTGTTTACATGATGATGCGTTAACTTCTTTCTGTTTTACGTTTCTGGTATAGTTAATACCTTAAGAAGAAAGTAGCGTCTCAACTAGTGTAGCTTGTTGTGTATTTATCATTTACAAGTCTAGTTATCAAGTCAAAGTAATCGATAACGGTTAGACATTACTTAAAATGATGTTTAGAAATTAGGTATTACTGGTTTCATGATTTCATCCTATACAAGAAATGGGTAAATAATGAAGTGCTCAACTTTCGTCATCATCATCATCATCATCATGTGCATTTTGTGTGGTGGAGGACCTCAGTGGATATGTGGTGGGAAGAAATTTCTATGGTAGCTCCATTTTAATCAGTTTATTAGAAATATCACACATAATAAAGGAAGGAACAGTATCATTTACTGGATAACTTACTTTTCGGACACAATTTATTGTTCATAGTCATATCAGGTAACCAACTCTATAACTTTGAAACACAGTTTATACAATCCTAATCTTGTGTCCTTCTTTATGATGTCAAGAGTAGTAGAATTTTCCGTATATCTGGACAAGTGCAGAGTCATTCCTATTAGTGCATGGATTTGGTGTTGACTCGATAAGCAGATATTCGGTTATCATTTAACCATTTAAGATAACCGTAGTTTGGCAGACTAGTATTTATACTGGGTGATGATTGTAGGCGAGATGAGAATTTGGACTACGACCGGATTTGAATCAGCTACCACCGGGTTTCCGACTCGATGCTCAACCAACTGATCTTGTAGCTCAGAATCATTTCTATTACTCCATGCTGATTTGATAAACAAAAATTCAATCGGTTATCAATCTCTCCCTCCCTTCACTCAACTAGATTAGTTTTGAACGCTATCGCTCTATCTCACCCTACTGTGTGATTGTGTGTAATTGCATGCAGAGCTATAGCCGATTAGAACAACTGAGCACAGAAACTTAGTTAAATGAAGATTAGTAGATCCTAATAAGATAAGAAATTTAGAGAAAAGCTCAGTCATAGCTCTGCATGCAATTACACACAATCACACAGTAGGATGGGATAGAACAACAGCATCAAAAACTAACCTAATTGAGTGAAGGGAGGGAGAGATTGATAACCGACTGAATATTTGTTTACCAAATCAACACCAAATACATGCAGTAATGGGAATGATTCCGCACCTGTCCCAGATATATGGAAAATTCTACTACCCTTGTCATCACGGAGAAGGAGAAAGGAAAATCAGCACGATTTGTTGATATGATTGTGGTTCTCCGTTGTTTTACTGGATCGAATTGTTCGATTACTATTGACGTATGGGCTCTTATGCGAATGCTTTGATATTCCTGAATGTTAATTACGGTAATTCACTTGGTTGCAGCTGACTGAGGAATCCAAGATGCACGTTTCCTCCTGGAGGAGGAACTACAAACATATCAACAAATAATAATAACTAAAACCCGTTGTACAAGAGGTGGCTTTCGTTCCTCTATGGCCTAGTTGATAACGCCTTGGCGTTTGAAGCGATGTGTATGAGGTTCGAGTCATGGTGGGAACAACATGACTCACTAGGAGTGGTACAGGTACATCCAGCTGACCAATGAGTCCCAAATAGGACGGAACGCACTTCCTGGATTCCACTGCTAAAGCCATAACAAGGTAAACTCTATCTCAAAGCTGTAGGGTTACTTGATATGCATATGGGCAAGAAAGTAGATTATTCGGTAAGTGGATATCGTCCCTTCACTGTGTGATATTTCTAATAGACAGAGTAAAATGGAATTACAATCTAACACAGTGCGAAAGTTTTACTCTTATATGCTATGGTAGCTCTCTTGGTACATTATTCCCGTCTAAATATTATCAGCTATGAACCCACTAGGGATGATGCAAACGGTAAGAAATGTGATGTATTTCACACATCCACCGACATTTATACTGAGATAAATAGATATCAAGTTTGAAGAGTATCATCTGTCACTTGAAGGCTTGAAACTGTAGTCTGAACTTGACTCACAACACAAACTACAATTCCTACCAGTTTAACTGTTAGTATAAACTAGTCCTTTTAAAGGTAAATAAAAGTAGTTAATCATAATGCTGAGATTTCATATTCACAATGGCTTCTTAGTTTCATCTATTGTTGGTTGACATCAGTATGTTATTAAATAACTATGATCTGAAGCAGTTGAACAAACGAATAGTAGTTGTAGGGATAGCTAGATTACAACTAAAATTGTTTCCTGAGTGGTTCCAAACGTCAGCCAGAACAATGTATATTTGATGTATCCCACCTGAATATAATTTCATTCACTAACAACCAATCTCTCCGATATTATTATAATATTATTATTATTAGTCCCTTGGGTTCCTAGTGGAACATAGGGCTTCAGTAGCACGTCTCCAGTGACCTCTGTTCTCTGAGATCTTTTGAACCTGGTCCCACGACAGCCCAGAAGCTCTCATTTCCTCCTCGCACGATCTCCTCCATGTCACCCTCGGACGTCCAACTCGTCGCTTCCCATGAGGATTCCACTCGAGTGTCTGGCCTGACGCGTGATGTCCCCAGTCGGCTTTCTCAGTGTATGCCTAATCCATCTCCACTTCCTCCTGCATATTTGTTGCGAGGTTAATCTCTCTGATAGCATAGGCTTAATTTCTTAAGGTCATTACTGAAGCAACTTGTTTTGTCCATTCACTGTCGTTTAAAATCAGTGCAGAGTTATTTTTATCACTGACCATCCTAGCTTCGCTTTTACTGGTCATATTTTTGTTATACTTTATCATACTAGATAATATAGCTACTTTATGAAAGCATTCTTCTTACTCATATCTTCAAGTTGAATACAAAATCCGCTTAGTTTCACTTACAACTATTCATAAGTTGAAATTGAAGGCTTACTATATCGCCTTTTACAAAGTCTTTATGACAGCCATTAATTATGGTATAATCTGTCATTTTATCAATCCTGGATGGATGTCAAGTCATGCAACATATTGTTATGTATTCACTAAGAAGAACAAGTGATTTATCAAGTTCATGGTCCACGTTAACATTTCTCAAAGTTGAGTCATTTATCAACTGTTTATCTTTGATGTCAACTTGATTCCTGAAGTTCCAATGAGGAATCATGACCAGTGGGGCAAACCTAAGGGTCATGAGGACAGATACACAACGATAACATTTTATGGCAGTCGCCTTATATCGTGAACCGACAGAAGTAAGAAATATAGACCATTGGACTCCAACCCAGTGGCGCAATGATAAGGTTACAGGTTCAACCCATGGTGGGGTCGTGGGTGTGCACTAGTGAAGAGTCCCATACTAGGACGAAACAGCTATCCAGTACTCCCAGGTTTCCAATATTCCTCCAATTAATATCAGTTCATGATGAATACCAACTTGAAAAAAAATCTCTAAATCCTCCACAAACCTTCAAATTCAACAAGATTTCTGTTAGTAACCACTCGTTAGGCTAGATAACAAGGTTGTGACTTTTGACATAAAAGTGTCATGAACTCGTGAAATATACTACTGATAAACAAATTGTCTATTTCATTAGCAAGATTAGAGTTCAGTTAATGAATCACTTGTAAATTGATCATCGTATTCATACCAAACGGTTAGCGGGATTCCATTGGTGTGAAGAATTCACCTCTGTGAGTTGTATTCATCTAGAGTTATACGGCTATTCAGTGGTTAAATTATTATAATCTGACTGGTGAAACCAATAGATCAATTCTTTTTATTCAGTAGTATAACTAAGGACAATTATTGTTATTTCATGAAGCTTTAATCACCTAGATAAACTTTTATTTAACTCAATCTTCATATTTGTAAACTGAGATTGCTGTTAATTACATCAATTTTTCTCATCCTTCTGTCTATGATTAATAGATCTTAAATTTTGAGGGAGTTGTGGAGATTTGGAATTATTTCAAGTTGTTATTCATCGTAGACTGACATCAGTTGGAGGAACAAAGGAAACCTGGGAGCACTGGACAGCTGTTTCGTCCAACTGGTATGGGACTCCTCAGCAGTGCGCACCCACGACCCCACCAGCAGGGACCGAACCCGCGACCTTCAGGTTCCGCGGCCAGCACGTTACCGTTGAGCCACTGGGTCAGAATCCAATGCTCCATATTTCCAACTTCTGTTAGCTCACGATATATAGCGCAACCGCCACCCAATGTCATCGCTGAGTATTTGTCCTCATGGCCATCAGGCTTTGACTCTATCGTGAGCTAACAGAAGTTGGAAATATGGAGCATTGGATTCTGACCCAGTGGCCCAATGGTAACGCGCTGGCCGCGGAACCTGAAGGTCGTGGGTTCGGTCCCTGCTGGTGGGGTCGTGGGTGCGCACTGCTGAGGAGTCCCATACCAGTTGGACGAAACAGCTGTCCAGTGCTCCCAGGTTTCCTTTGTTCCTCCAACTGATGTCAGTCTACGATGAATAACAACTTGAAATAATAGATCTTAGTAAAACTTGTTGTTATCATCATGATGTATAGATGTTGTAGCCTGTCAGTCCATTGTTAATCATAATGATTGAATGTATTATATATGTGATCATTTCCTTAACATGGCTATATAGTTATATTTGTCAAACAATAGAATATTGAAATAATTTCCTTCTTTTTTCAGTGTTCTAGTTGGTTATGATCATGTACTGAAAATATCTGACTTTGGTGCATCTCGTGAATGGACAGAAAATTCTACTAAAATGTCATTCACAGGTACTGTTGCTTGGATGGCGCCTGAAATAATACGTAATGAACCGTGTTCTTTTAAAGTCGATGTATGGTAAGTATTATTATTATTATTATTACTCTTATTATTATTAAAGATAAGACTGTAAAGCGTTTAACCATCATTTTTATTTCTTTTAGCTGTGTGTGGATTACCTGTGGTTTAATTATTATATTACTATTTCTCCTTTGGGTTTCTAGTGGAACATAGAGCTTCACTAGCAAATCACTATTTCACTCTCTTCTCTCCAGTCTTTTGAACCTGGCTCCACAACTCCCATTAGCTTTCATTTCTTACTCACATCATCTCCTCCATTTCACCCTTGGATGCCAAACTCGTCCTTTCCCATTTCGGTCCCACTCGACAACTTGACGCGTGATGTCCCCAAATCATCCAATCTAATCCAATCCACCTTCACTCTCTTCTTCTGCATATTTGTTGGGCGATAGCTTCTTGCTTCGTTGGTTGGTTCGTTGGTAGACCACAGTTCCTCCTTACTCATTCTTCCCCGCCTCATCTCATCTGATCTTCAGTATGAAGTGAGCGTAGGCGACAGCTGTTGATGATGTATGTCTGCAGTCTGTTGGAAATGCTTTTCGTAACGCTCCAAGTCTCACAACCATCACATAGAAGCACTGACTTGACCGACTGACTTAGTGTTGAAAATCTGGATATCGTTTACGTTTTATGTTGAGTGAAGTGCAGTGCAGTGCATTAGATCTCCACAGATTAATGAAGGAAGACGTGTCTTCCTGTTTTTCCAATCCTAGCTTTGACATCGTCATCTGTGCCGCCCCCACTGCTGCCTGTAGTTGGAACTATGCTACCTAGGTAGGTGTGTGAGAGAGAGACACTTTCGTTTAGATTTCTCGTGTTGATGGTGATTGGTGCTTGTTGTTTTTGTTATTGTTGGTGGTGGTTGGATGGTATCTTCATCAGTTCTATCTTCTCTACGTTCCCTTGAAGGAAGTGGCGTCTTCACTGCCCTGCCTCTTCTGGCAACTTGTTAATTTTCGCGTGTAGATCTTCGAGTTCGTGCGACATTAGACTCTGGACATAAATCATCATGGGAGATATGCAAATGTTCTAGGGTCTTTTCATAGGTGAAACAGCCTACGCTGATCTTCTCACTGCTCACAGTTTCTTGCGTGATCGAGTCCAGTCCAGTCGAGTCGACTTCAATGAGGAAGATGATCGGTAATAGTGGGCGACAACCTTGTCCTACCTATCAACCTATCTTCACTTGAAAGGCATCACTGAGCTTTCCATTATGAATCACTCGGTATGTAGCATCATCATCATCATCATCATCATCATATAGCTGGTGTTGAATGAGTTTGATAAAGGTTTGTGACATTCACTATGTAGTGTTGAAGCAGCTGTCAAATGACTTGTGGGTCGACGCCTTGATTGAAGGTTTTTTGAAAGTTGATGAAGTTGATGTTGAGTTCAGTTGTCTTCCATTCTATGCACTGCTGTGGCTTAATAATGGAGATGAACTGTATTTTCCTGCTCATATCTACCAGCGTGTTATGTTCAAGTGTAAACTATTTGCGACGCTACCGTAACCGATATCCTATTGTATAGCATCAAGTGTACAGCTTTTAAGTGCCTAAAATCTTTCTTTGCAATATGTAGGTGAATTGATGTTCCTAAGAGGCGTAGTTTTTAAAACGTTTCCTCTTCGTATGGTTTGAAGTCAGTCTGCAATACTACCTTTGTTGATATGCACCCTATCTTTTACTTGTTATCTTAGTTGATCCTGATATCGCAACTTATTTATTGATACCAGGATGGAGTGAAAAATTGAGTAAAGTGATCAGTTTACAATATACCGTTGCAGGTACACAAAAATGATTGAATTGATGCCTCTTAACACCGTAGGTGTGATTGTATTATCCAGTGGAAGGTGATGACAGTATATTTGAATGAAAGTAGAAGTTAACAATAGCTGTGCTATACAACTCTTTTTCATATTACTTATTTCTACAGTGGAATTTTGGCTCATTGGTTTAAGCAATTGATATTCAATCAGTGGGTCACATGTTCGAACTCTGCTCCACCTACCGAGGTTTGAGCAGCTAAGCTAGATAGTATCATTAGCCTTCAGACAATAGGTGCAGCACATTGCCTACTACACAAATGTGCACAAGGTTGGTGAGTGCATTCCGATATGACTGATTTCTCTTCTTACTTCATTCAAATAAATTGTAACAACTGTTGCACAATCTGTTTTTTCCCGTTTATTTGAATGTATATTAAACATTATGCTATCATGTAGACTTTCCGATTGGGATACACGTACCAACCAAAATCGGTGCTTAAAGACAATGGGTGATATGACGGAGAATCGCTCTCAGTAGTGCAGATGTTTTGACATATTCTCTTGGTTCCTATCGTTATATCAAGTTTCATTCTTGCCTCATTCCTTCTTGTTCTCTTGTCGCGATTTCTTGCCAATCTTGACTATTTTCTTCTTTATTTCCCTATATTTCGTCTTGGTGTATTCTCACTTGATATATTGATAGTATGTCTAACAACTTAAACCGTCATGCACCAATACCAGGGTGCATGTGTTGATATTGACTGACTGACTGACTGACTGACTGACTGACTGACTGACTGACTGACTGACTGACTGACTGACTGACTGACTGACTGACTGACTGACTGACTGACTGACTGACTGACTGACTGACTGACTGACTGACTGACTGACTGACTGACTGACTGACTGACTGTATACAAGACTTTTATCTCATCACTGGGTGTTCCTTATTGCATAAGTATATTATGTATAACTCATTCCTAATTTCCCTTATGCCATTCTTTACTTTTATTAAAAGAATGAGTATCATTAATCACAAATGCGCATATGTATTCATACAAACATCTTCTGACAGACAACAGATAAAGTCAACGTGGAATCCTGTACACAAGTGCATCATTTCAAGTCGTTACAATTCAGAGTAGCATACAAAGTAAAAGGGTGATATTAATGTATTCAAAAGTGTATGGGACGAGAAGAGATTCCAAAATCTAGATTAAAGGAAATGTTCAAATCTTAGAAGACGGTGAAGAGTAAGTAGATCTTCGCCTTTGTCAGTGATTTCTAGCCATTTCACTAGGAGCCTCCAACCGTTAGCTTCTATTATGTCGCGGACCTTAACTGGATAGTCCATCTCTCCCTATATGACTCAGACCAACAGTCAGAGACTCCACAAACTGGCTTCATATCTTGATCTGGCCACCCTGGGTATTTTTCCAAGCCAAGCAAACATTTCACGTCAAAGTATTTTTAGTCGCTTGGCATGAATAGGCTACCTGAATTGCCGATGATTCACAACCTTATTGACTGATTTGGCTTTCTTGTCTAGTACTCCTCGCCAATTCTTGACATTGCTCCGATGTTGTCGAACACCAGTAATCTCATTACACTTGATTTCAACGGTCATGTTTCACAGTCGTGCACTAATGCATTACAAATAACTACATGGAAGATTATTTTGCGTTTCTCATTGTGAGGTAGGGAGAGAGATAAGAGTTGAGTGTACACTCTTGTCAGTTGGAAAAAAAAGTTTATCTAGCACATTGCTTATAACTTCGAATTTTCCTTCTTTTTCAAGTGGGTGAATTTTTGAAAAATTAGCTAACCTGACAAGGGGTACAGTAAATGGCAACTTGAACGTGTTCAACGTTGATATCTTGTCGCTTTTAAACCAAATGTCGTTGTGTCACCACGTCAGTAATACAGAAGTCAGGTGTAGAGTTCTAGGGAGGTAAGAAAAGCCACTGGAGGAGACTGTTAGCCTTCATCGACTGAAGTAGTTGGGACATGTATTACTCATGGCTAGTCATCAGCATATGCCTCACCGTACAATGGGAGTTGAAGTGTAGGTTCAGGCTAGAAAAAGGTTAGGGACGAAAAGAGTAAAATAAGGCCATCACTGCATGAAGTTTTCGACTGTGACCAGTGATTGAAGATTCTAGGTGATATGGCTTAGAATTCATATCAGTGACGCAGATATCTCCATATACATTATCCTAATCTTAATTGCTATACTAAATTCAACATTTCCTCATTCCTCCTCTCTTTTGACGGATTTCTTCTTTATTTCTTCATCTTTCATCTAATTACTTTGTTACTTGATGTGCTAACATGAGATTTGGCAACTTGAACCGTTTTGTAGTAATGCTTGTACCTACATTCACCATTCCCTGCTTAACATTTCGAATTCTCTATCCGCATTGTCTGCATATCTGTTCATATCACTCAAGATAATTATCAGTCGCTTCATATATTTTCTTAAATTTTCTAAATTAATCCTACTTTAGACAATATCTTGCTTTAAGACACATCATGATCTATCTTGACTAACACACCTCTCCGTCACCTTAGTGACTAGTATCCGAGTATGAAAACCATGTGGTTCATTAATATAAGAGTAAAACACTTTGATAGGATGTAATTCCATTTTTATTGAGTTATTAGATTTATCCTACAGTTGAACAATAGTGTTTACTGGATTAGTTTTCGGACATAATTTCTGTATATGACTATAGACAATAAATCATGTCCGAAACGTCATAATCCAGTGAATAATACTGTCCCACTGTGTGTGTGTGTGTGTGTTCTGTGTGATACATTTAATAAATCAACTAAAATGGGACTCAGTCACTTTGTTCGGAACAGATTTCCAATCCCATCTCCTGTCTTACATATTTGCCTATTTTCAGTAAATCTACCAGCATCATCTAATAAGCATTTAAGGTCATTTGTGAAGTCTTCGGAATTATTATTATTATTTATTTGTCCTTTGGGTTCCTTGCGGAACATAAGGCCTCAGTAAGCACCCCTCTCCACGACTGCCCACAAGCTCTCATCTCTTCCTCACACGATCTCCTCCATGTCACCCTCACCTCGGACACCTAACTCGTCGTTTCCCATGTGGGTTCCACTCGAGTGCCTGGTGTGACGCGTGTTGTCCCCTTATGGTCTTCTTAGTGCATACCCAATTCATCTCCACTTCTTTCCAGTGCATATTTGTTGAGGT